AAATTGCTGACTCCCCAATCAGCCCTGCTCTGAGCCCGACCAGGGGCTGCACCTAGGGACTGGGCCTGCCCTCTGCCACCCGGGAACAGGCCTAAGCCAGCAGGTCGTTATCTCCCAAGGGGTCCCAGACTGCAAAAGGGCACAGGCCGGGCTGAGGGACTCCTCCTGCTCCCCAAGTGCACAAATTTTTGTGCACCAGGCCTCTAGTATATAATAAAAGCCTAATATGCAAATTGTTCGACCAGAAGTTTGACCACTCACTATGACATGTGCTGACCACCAGGGGGCAGCACAGATAATGGCAGGCACTGGCAGCAGGCAGCAGTAGAGGCACTGCCAGCCCCGATGGGCCCCAACGAGAGTGGGGCCGTGGAGGGATGGTGGAGCAGGTGAGTGGGCAGTGCCAGGCCATGGAGGGGTGCCAGGTGGGGCTGCAGGGCTGTGAGGCTGGGGGCCTGGGTGATCCCCGCAGGCCACCCCGAGCGTCCCCACCTGTGCACTAATTCATGGGTTGGGCCTCTAGTATAAATATGATCCTCTTTATTTATAAAACTCTGTAACAGATATGTTAATACTTTTACATATATATTTTAAGTTAATCCTTATAAAAATGCTGTGAAGTTGCATTACTATACCCATTCTATGCATGGGGAAACTGAGGCTCAGGAAGTTTAAATCACCTTTTGTAGGTCACACAGTTGGTAACCGACATGACAGCAGATTCAACTAAATTCTGTCTGACTCCAATGTCTATGGCCCTTGGTTGCACACTTCTTTGTAACACACTTTGAAACTAATTCCCAAACTCTAAAGAAATGTTTTAAAGCCCTTTATTCTTTCTGTTAGTTCATCAGATAACTCTTCAATCCAGGGATTCATAAACTTGCTTATCTAAAAAATAATTTAAAATGTCTGCACCCTATTTCAGATTTTCTAAATCAGGTGCTCCAGAAGCAGGCGGGTAATCTGTGCATTTAACTAGCTTCAGATGAGTTTAGTATTTAAGTTCAGATAACAAACTTCAGATGTGTTTAGGAAACTCTGCCTAGTCCTAGGTTTTACTTTGCTCCCTTTAAACACAGACCACCAGGCAGCTATCATAGATGCCATCTATTCAATTTGACCCAAATGGACCTCCTGTTGGTCCTCAGGATCAGAGTCCCCAGACACTGCTTGGATTTCCTATAGAATATTCCTATATCCCTGGGATCGTTCTACCACTCAAGTAGAAGGTTCAAGTCCATAGTCATTTCACTTGTAACAAGTATTTATTAGATAAAGTGCCCACTAAATTCTCAGTACCATGCTAAGCATTGTGAATAGTACACAAGTAGAAAAACCAAGAAAATACTTAGAATTAAAGAAGAACTATTTAAGGCAGGCATATTTTAAGAAAATATATGAAGGTAGTCTCCAGAAAAGCAGAACTGAGATACCAAGAAAAAAAGGAAATAAAAAGGGAAGTAATTCTCAAATTACGTTATTTTTAAGATTTCCCCATTGATTCTTAGAGAGAAAGAAAGGAAGAGGAAGGGAGAGAGGGAGGGAGGGAGGGAGAGTGGGAGAGAGAGGGCGAAACATGAGATAGAGAGAGAGATAGAGAGAGAGAGAGAGAGAGAGAGAGAGAGAGAGAGAGAAACATTGATATGAGAGGGAAACACTGATTTGCTGCCTCGCCCTGGACTGGGGATAGAGCCTCCAGCAACCTTCCCATACACTGAATGACACCAACTGAGCCACACAGGCTAGGGCTCAAATTAAGTTATTTTTTAAATGTTGGAACTAATCATGTCTTTACTAAGGGTGAAAATCACAGTCACCTTTATTTAAGAGGCTTTTTTTCCCCCTATAACTTCTTTCTGGAAGACAGGGTTTTGTTGTCCAACATCAATTCTCAAAAGTAAATATTCATTGTATGAGAAGTGAGGGAAAGCAAGATTATTTATAATCCCATACTGATTCCAATAGTCCTTTCTAAAAATGAACCACAAATAAAACACAGATATCAAAAGCTACACTACTGAATTTCTTATTATAATTGCTTCCTGCTATCAAATTCATTTCTGATTAGTTTCCTTTGTAGCACCTAGTATATTTCTACTATCACTCTGAAATGAAGGAAAAAAAGATATAACTTCTCAAGTTCCCTTTAAAAAGTTTCCTGATTCTCCCCTCCTCCATCCTTAGTTGCCTTCTACAGTTGGGAATCATATTGCTTTCTTTGATGTATTGTGTACATTATTCTAACTGTTAAAGATATGTTAACAGTGCTGCTAATATGCGTATTTTAATATTTGAATCAATTACCTTCTTAACAATATACAAGAACAAAATTCCTCAAATAGTTTCTGGATTTGATCATTTGTAACCAATTTCCATTGAAATGCAAGCTTAGGGAGCAAAAATTCCATATGGAAAACTTAAGGCTGAATTAGCTTTGAAATTGAGTTTAAAATTGCAGGGAAAAAACCTATTTTGATTTCAATGTCTACTGTAGACACAGCAGAATGGCTATTATCTATAAAAGCATCATGCTCCCAAGGTAGAGGACTTTAAAACATAAAGTGAAACACTACATCTCTCTGAGTAATGTGATAGACAACCAACCTTCCTGTCACAATTGCCTGGAGATAGACACACCTGTTCATGCCTTGTATTCATCCTGGGCTACTTTCCCTTCCTCTGGGGGCTTTTGAACTTGGACTTGACATCTCTTAAATTTATGCTTTCTCTAAATGTAAAGGGGTTTCTTTTTTTACAGTTTTAGCCTTACTTGGAGTTCAAGTCTAACATAGATTAAAGAGAAGTCGTCTAGGTCTTAGAAATTCGATGTTTGCTCTTGATCCATTCTTTTTTTTCCTTTTGTTTTTATGAGGTTCAGCTAAAAACCCCAAAGTGGGACATAATGGCTTTAAATACAGAAAGGAAATAGTCTTTATTCTTTTTTTAAACTGTAAAAAGCCCCCAAGGCTCTTTTGTAGAAAGCCCACAGTAGAAGCACTCCCTCAAAAGCCACCTTTTCTTCATAATAGCCTTAGAGGAGACAGTGCTCAGAAAACATGACAGCACCAAGTGCAGCTGATGTCAGACCAAGAAACAAGCTAAGTGGTTTATGGCCAAGATCCCTAATTACTCTATGTACTTATCAAAATAGGGAAGTTTTTTCACCAACAAAATGTTTTTTAAAGGTCATTGTCTCTCAAATGCAACAATAACCAACTTGTCCACTCTAAAATGGAAAAAAATGAGAACAATTCTCAGATGAGACAGAGTAAGAAATAATCCTATGACATCATAGAGAAAGGAGAAAAGGGATTATGGGAATGAAAAACATCTGGATTATGATATAAATGTGACAGAACCATTTCTGCACATCAGTTTAAGATGCTGACATTCAAAACTTATAGCCATAGGATATAATAATAAATCAAACCAAATAATAAATCTTTATCAAAATTAGCAGGGTACAAATGCAATTAATTCACAAATATTTATTGAGCATTGTTATATCACAGGCAGTGTATGCACAGAAAAATACTACAAAAGTCCCTATACGTGGATGACCTTACATTCTTGAGGGGAACTGAATCCTCTCATTTTTGTGTTCCACGCTGTACAGATCCTTGAAAGTGCATGACCTGAAGGAATGGGCGATTTGCTTGCATGCACAGGTTTTGGTAACAGCTGCCATTTAATTAAGAGATTAGAAGGGCTCTATGGTTGAAGACCCATAGATTACAGTACATTCTCCTCCTTTACTTGACCAAGAAAGAACTCTTCCTAATTTTGAAAATTTAATTTAATTTCTTGTAACAAATGCATATAGACTTCCCATGGGCAAAATAACAATTTCCTTAAAACGTTTGAAGTAAAATATTTCTAGCCCCACTTAAAGCCTATATTTAGTATAGAGTACTTTATTAAATGGTGTTTTCTTTAAGTATTAACATTATGTTTCAGATAATAAAATAACCACAACAAACTGTTCCCCAAGCCTTACCTTGGACAGTCAAAGTAGCTGATGCTTCAGCTTTTCCAACCATATTTTCTGCAACACAAGTATATGACCCCATGTCACCAGCCATCACCTTTCGGATTTTCAAGGTATGATCATCTCTGATTTCATATCTAGTGACAGAACAAAAGAAAGCATAATTAAGTGACCTTCTATTTAAAGATCTCACCATGACAAATAACATATATCTAGGATCACACATAACATTCGCTTCAGGATATTTTAAACAATAGTTAAAGTACACCATTCCTCTAAGCAAGCACACATAGAGAAAAGAGCTTGTTTTTATTTATATTTTAAATGTTTTTATTGATTTCAGAAAGAGGACGGGAGAGGAGGAGAGACATAGAAACATCAATGATGAGAGAGAATCATCGCTTGGCTGCCTCCTGCACAGTCCCTACTGGGGATTGAGCCTGCAACCTGGTCATATGCCCTGACTGGGAATCAAACCGTGACCTCGTGGTTCATGGGTAGATGCTCAACCACTGAGCAACACTAGCCAGGCAAAAAGAGCTTGTTTTTAAATTTATGTGGGCTAAAATACTGAACTACTTTTCAAAAAAAATATTTTTTTAAAAAGTTGGAACTTCATTGTTTGTTCCCTCAAGCTACTGCACTCAATCTAAAATTAAAAGATAGTGACCAATTTATATATGCCAGATGTAATTTATAGATTTTTATCTTTTAAAATTCTTATAACCATTGTATGAAGTATTATGCTCATTTCCATTGTGCAGATGAGAAAAGAAAGCGAGGCAGCGGGGGCAAGGTGGCCTGGTTGGTGTTGGTCTCAGCTAGTTTAGCGCAGAGTTGATAACTGAACTCAGGCAGTCTCACTCTAGAGTTCATTTGCCTTGCCTCATCTTCCTTCCCATTCAACGCTGGGTTTCCCTTAAAGTTTCACTTTAACCCTCTTTCATTCTACATAATATCCCTGAGTTATATTTTCTACTATAGTTTATATATTCATTGACCACCCAAATATTTCCAATTCTTATTTCATCTAAGCTCCAAATTCATAATCCCTGCTGATTAATAATTACACATCATATCACACAGGCACCTAATATTTTCTGACACGTAAACAAATTCCTTTTCCTAACACAATCTACCCATCTTCCATCACCAGTTCCCTCTAACTAACAAATCATCCAAGTCATTAGTTGAGTTTCAGAAATTTCTTGCCACTATGGACCCCTACCTCCCTCTCATTTTCCCCATTCAGGCAATTTACATCACTTACAGGGACAACAACAATGGTGATCCTGATACTAGTATCTCCCTCTCCTTACATAGATGTAATATCCATAGTCCAAAAAAAGTTATTCTCTCTAAAAAGAAACCCTGTTCATAGTATTCTTCTTGGGTCATCATTGTGCATGTAATATGATTCAAAATTATTTAGTCTATTAATACAAGCCTCTGATAATCTGGCCTCAGTACTGGTTGTACCAGTTAATAATGTGGATTTTGCAATCAAAGAAAACACGATAATTTCAAGAGAAACATCAAAAGTGCGTTATTCAAAGTAATGTCCATCGCTAGCTACACATTTCAACCATATTTCAGGTAATTTGTGGATACTGTCCCAATAGAACTTTTCTTGTTTTGAGGCAAACCATTCAGAGACCCAATTTTCCACTTCTTCGTATGTTTTGAAGTGCTGCTCAGAAAGTGTGTGTGCCATTGATCGGAACAAGAGATAATCTGAAGGAGCAAGATCCGGTGAATACGGCGGGTGGGTTAATACTTCCCAGGCAAGATCTCTTAATGTGTCTTTTACTGGTTTTGTGTTGGAGACGAGGTATAAGCTGACATGGTCCTTGCACCTGAAGGGGCTAGCAAGGCTGGGACCCTTACCCATACAGTTTTCCCAGACTTGTTTGGATGGCGGTTATCAGTAGAATAAGAGCAACCTTTGTAGAATGAGAACAGCCTTTCATGGCTTAGCAAGAAGTCTGTAACTATTTACTGAGATTTGCTGTACCGAGAATTTGTCCTTCTGCTCTGTCTCTCCCTTAGAGATTAAGAGGAACAAAGAATACATTCCTCGTGACAGACCTCCTATTCAGTGTTTTGTGTATAAATGGCATTGCGTGGTTAATATACTTATTGCAGTTCCTCAATTGACCTGTAGTCCTTCCAATCCCGCTCTCCTGTCTTTCTTTCTTTTCTCAATTCCCCCCTCCCTGCCTCAGCCCGGTTCAACCTGTCAGGCTGGCACTGACAAGCACTGTCTTCTTTCCAAAGCGATTTGGCCTTGCAGTCGGTGTTGATGGTTGACCGGGATCAACCCCTGATTTTGTGCATTTGGGATTCTCAAAATAAATCCACTTGTCATTGCCAGTCACAATTGGATGCAAACAAGACTTTCTTTTGTGCCGTTGAAGCAACATTTTACTAATGACTTTTTGGTTTTCCAATTCTCTTTCATTCAATTAATGTGGCACCCATTTTCCCTCCTTTAACATCTTTCCCATTGCTTGTAAATGATCGGAAACTGTTTGCTGAGCAACATTTAATGTTTCTGCAAGTTGTGTTTGAGTTTGACATGCAACTTC